TACGCAGGTTGACGCCCGGCCGGTTTACAGAGTCCCGAGGCCGACTCATACAAGTGTTTGGCTCGGTCTCTCTCTTTCCCTAACTTACAATACAAGTTATACAATTGTGGCGGTTTACCACTATGGGCACCCGCCTTTGGGCTCTGGGCCTCTAAGCTTTATCAGTAAAGCGTCATCTTCTTGTCTTCATAGGCTTCAATATAGTTGAGCGTGAACCGGCCCCTCCTGGGCGGTTTACACTCAGTAGTTATATCCTCAACAGTATGCTTGAATTATCTTGTTCCTTTTACTGAATTGTACTCCTAGCTATACTTTGTTTTGCTTAAAAAAACTATACTCCTCCATCATACCTCATGGATGAAGCAACAAAAGTGTAAACTGTAGAAAATATTGGACGACTAATGTTTCTGTGTTGTATTAATCTGACCCTCGTAGGGGTATATATAGAATACATGTGAGGGAAAGACTTGGAGTACAAGACAAGTCATAATAGATTTAAGTTGTTCTATCTTTATCTCTCCTTATATCTAACTACACGGACGTATTTCAAACAGTCCCCCTCGGTCATAGCGGTAGTGAAACGGACGATTGCGACTGGATTTGAAGTATCATGCTCGCGTCATCTTCTCCGCTTCACCATCATGACCTGCATCTCTGATGGGTCGGCACCTAGGACGGTGACTGCGTCCCCTTCTGGTGCCTTCCTTGTCTCTCCTCTCTCTTCCCTCCCGCAGTCACAGCGGGAGTGGCGTGAACGCTGGTGACGACACGGATGCTGTTGACTGGAGTTGTTGCCGATATGTTGATGTAGACATAGCCATTAATGTCAATGTCGAGGTAGCCGATCATAATGATGTAGCCGTGGTCGAGGTAGTCGTGGTCGATGGTGTGGTCGTCGTGGATGATGAAGCCGCACAAAGCCTGAAGGCGCAGATAAAATGTGCTACGACGGAGCTGTAGACGTGGACGATGCACCTTGCGGATGTCAGAGGGTGATGTCGGCGATGAGTCCACCGGTTTTGCCAAGACCGGAGGAAGCCCATCGAGCACACATCGGTTTTGCCAGAATCGTGTGGCCGTGTAGGGTCGACACTGAAGTGACACCGTGTCGATGCAGTCGTGCCGTCGTGGATGACGCGGTCGATGTCGTTGTCGTGACGCGGTCATTGCCGTCGTCGAGGTCGTGTCTTGTAGAAAAGTCTGTCAAAGGACACTAGGTGTCCATCTTGTGGACGAGGTGGCGGTGGTGTGTTGACGATGATGATGATGATGACCACGTTGATGAAGACCTTGGCGATGAAGTGTCGGTGATGCAGCGGCGTGTCGACGATGATGCGTCACTTGGAGGTGTCCCTCGTGGCGACGGGTGTCGATATCGTGTCGTGCTGAAGAAGTCGATGAAGAATTGCACTCTTTCCACACCAGCCTGTTGTGTGAACGGTGCATGTCATGGTCGTTTCTTGTAGATGTACTCGACAAAGTATATTGGCTTCTAGCCTGGCGTAGTCTTACAGCTTGATGATGTGGCACGGGGTCAGTGTAGATCGGCTTGATGCAGTGCAGATCGGTCGGTGTAGTCGGTCGGGGTTCGGTGAAGAATTGTTGTTGGCCTCGGTCCTGCGATGGTCGGCTCGGTGTAGCCGGACGTGTAGCCGCCATGTACGTACCGAAGTAGCTGCAGATCTTGTGGAGCGGAGTAGATCGGATCAAAATCTCTACGTGAGAGGGACGCCCTCTCGTGATTGGACGCGCGTGTCCGCACAGCAGCGAGGCGCCCGCGTTGCCGGTCGACCCTGCAGAAGGGCCGTGGTTGGAGTCCATGGCTCATGCCATACGCATGTTCATCATGGCGAGTCAGGCCTGTGGCCAGTGTTGCCACGCACGTATGCATGTGCACATGGCCGTGTTCTTGCTGCTTGATGCGTGCATGGGCCATGGAGTCGATGAGGCTGCAGGCTCTTGCCGATGGACTGCGGCCGTGCGGGGCATGGTTGGGCGGATTGTCGATGTAGAGCCCATGCGCACTTGGCGCTGGTCGTCGTTGCGAGCCGAAGCGCGTCGTCGTCCCTGGTCAGTGCAGACGAACTGGCCTTTGCGACGCGGATGTCCACCTCGTGCCCCATGCGTTGCCGCAGGCACGCACAATCGTGTACATTAACTTGATTCACCGGAATTTGATCTGATCGTGGGATTTATTTGTGGCTAAATTGGATCTAATCTATGAAGCTGAAAATTTCGAAATTGATCTAAACTAATGTATAGAACCGATCTAGTCTATGTAACTGATCTAGTGCCGCGTCCCCGGGGAGAAAAGATCAATCTCCCCGAGGGCGGCGCGCTGCGGAAGTGGTGGAAGGAACCTAGGATCGACGTCGTGAGACTAACCGCTCTAGTACCATGCAGAAAATATTGGATGACTAATGTTTCTGTGTTGTATTGATCTGACCCTCGTAGGGGTATATATAGAATACATGTGAGGAGAGACTTGGAGTACAAGACAAGTCATAATAGGTTTAAGCTGTTCTATCTTTATCTCTCCTTATATCTAACTACACGGACGTATTTCGAACATAAACAATAAGGCTGCATACTCCCTGCTTGAGCAGATGGATTAAGTTTTCCCTGCAAGGGTTTTGTAGCTGATGGAGTACATTTTATTAGGAGATGAAAACTACATGAAGCTGCACCCCCTAAATGGTTTTGTAGCCAATTAATTCTGCTCCATTTCAGCTTTATTGGTTTCAGTCGCATGTTAGGCTAGGTTCATTGTCTTCTTGACTCTTGAACCTCCCTCCATCGCCAGCTTGTACCTTTTTTTCTTTTATCTTTTGAAGAATCCCCAACTTGTTATTGACTTGATTCTGTTTCAAATAGAAGTGCCCTACATTTTCTGCCCATCTCTAGGGTTCCAAACACTTCATCCATCCATAACAGAACAACAAGTCCTGGAAACTCTTCCATAACATCACAACAAGTCCAGAAATTGTGTTGTCAGTTAGGGCCTGAAGAAAATGTGTCGTCAAATTCTTCACTGTAGATCTAGTACTAGTAGAACAAATTGGGTTGGCAAATTTGTCCACTGCAGATCCAGTAGAAAAAAATTGTTCACTAGACTGAAGAAATTGTGTTGGCAAATTATCCCGCCATCATTGATGCATCACTGTGATTCACTGTAGAACAAATTGCTGCATCATTGGACTATGAACTCTGAAATTAGTACTGTCTCGGATTACAAGATAATTAAGGACTACTAAAAATTCAGTTACTGTCAACTGAATTTGACATTATAATTTATACTGTGAACCGAACACTAACTCTTTTACAGCAAATTAGGACTGCACAAACACTTACAGTTTTGAACACTTTTCACAAGATGAAGCTCTTGATCTTACAGTAAATATTCAAGTTAGGACTACACTTTTAAAGTTCAAGATACTCTTGTAAATTAAATCTCAACTTGCAAAGTTGTTGTTTTCAGATAACTGAAATTACACCAAAGAATTTCAGTTAAAAGATGTCCTTAAGTTCAGTCATGTTGTATTATACCCCATTTTTACTGTCAAAACGGCATTGCTTGTACTGTCAAAAAGGTTGGGAGTACAGATCAACTGAAACCTGAAACCTGACATTTTAACTGAATTTTACGTTCTTCTTCCTTCCTGTGGAACACGAGCTCTGGCGGCAGCACAAGGAGCAAGGCAGGGGAGCACATGGGAGCTGCTACTGGAGCTCTGCTGCTGCTGATCAACACGATCACAGCATGCGGATCAATTTTACTCTACTTTTGTTGCTGCTGATCAGAGCGCAGTACCAGGAGGCAGAGGGCAAAGGCAGAGACCTCCGGGGTCGGGGGTAGGGATCGGAGGGCGTCGGCCACGACCACCAGCAGCAGCGGGCGAAGCGGACTCGTGCGGCGACGGTGGGTGGCGGAGGACCTGCTCGTCGGCTGGCGGCGGAGGTCCTACTCGTGGGCAGGATCGTCAGCGGCTCATGACCTTCTCTTGGATACGTCTGGCTGCGGCAGCTGGCCGCGGCAACGCAAGCAACGGGAGGAGGAAGGAAGGAAGGAGACGGGGGCCTTATTTCCAGAGCTTGTAAGTAGAAGGACAAAAATGCAAAAAAAAAAATGTACTACACCTGCAACATGAATTCCGGGACGGAGGGAGTATACCAAACCATATTATTTTTGTGATAACATGAAACAAACAAATGTTGGCCCTGTTTGGATCCCTATGTTAGAGTTAGTTTTAGTTAGTTGGGACTCAAATAACACAAAAGTATCCAAACATGATGGGTTAGTTTGGGTTAGTTTGGGTTAGTTAGATCTAACCCATCCCAAAAAACTAGCCCACAATAGAGGAGCTTATTTGGGTTAGTTCTTCTAGGCCCACTAGAAAAATTAGTAAAAAAAGTTATCCCTCCCATTCAAACAGGGTCCAAAGTAGTCAAATAATTGAGAAAAAATATTTATTGTCAATCTAACCCTACCATCCAAACAGCTTTTTGTTAGAGTTAATTTAGGGTTAGTTTATAGTTATAATCTAACTCTAACCTCTAACTAAGTTAGAGTATCCAAACAGGGCCGTTGCATGCTCATTCGCTTGATTTCTCATGATAAATAGCGTTGCAGGTTCTCAACAGAGATGGTCGAACTAATTGAAGAGCCTTCAACCTTTCGAGTCCACATAGGACAGCTACAAGTAACTGACTTCACCAGATTTACTCCCTCCGTCCCAAAATTCTTGTCTTAGATTTGTCTAAATACGGATGTATCAAGTCACGTTTTAGTATTAGATACATCCGTATCTAGGCAAATCTAAGACAAGAATTTTGGGACGGAGGGAATAGAACTTAACATGCTAATTTATCCTCACTCAAACCAAACCAACAGCACAGCATATGAAACCATCACCCACTTATTAAAGTATCCTATATGGAGTACTTCGTTCATTCAATTTTTACGGTTATGTTTCGCCCAGGGAGCATCAACAAGCGAATGCTCAGGCTTTGGGTAGTCCGTTCTCTGCTTTTGTCACGGAAGCACGTGGAGGCCATGGCGCGCCAGCCATTACCGCTTCGATTTCCCAGGTCTCCCGGGGGCAGTTTGTCAGGTTCTTGCATCCTTGTGCCGTCACATACTGCAGCAATGGAATATCTTGTTAGCATGTACTCCCTCCGTTCGGAAATACTTGTCGAAAGAATGGATGTATCTAGACGTATTTTAGTTCAAGATACATCCACTTTTATGCATTTCTTCGACAAGTATTTCCGGACGGAGAGAGTAAATGACAAGGCTAGCACTTTGTAAAGGCAATCAATGTGGATGCTACAGAAATTACTGTTGAGTTCTTGAGACGTCAAGAGAAACTCTGTGCACTGGTGATAACTAAATGTCTCTTTACTCTGCAATCAGCAATCTGGCAGTATCTTTTTTTCCTTTTATACTGCCATCCGCATGTACATGCTAAAATTTCTGGACCTTGTTACCAGCAAAAGCACGTAACCATGACCAAAGTATAAAACCTCACTACCGTGGTAATGCTTGGTTCTTGGAGCATGCCAGCATGGTGAAGTGTGAATGCTGAACATGGAACAGTAGTCCACATTTTAGCCAAACAAAATTTAGCACTTCAAAAAATTATTCAAGATTCAGAGCTAAGTTGTTCCAATCTCTGTACTTCAGTAACCGAACTCGGAAGTGTGCCCTAACTGAAGTTTGACTCTTATGGGGACAAGACATTTTTATCATCTCCATTGTAGCACACACATTAAAATCTATGCAAGATCACTTGCAACATCGAGGTCTATCAACATATGCCAACCAATTTCTGTTTTCTTGTAGATGCGGATAATATAGTGCACATTTAGTTTTCGTGAAAGTCAACCTTCACAAACTTTGACCAACTTTATTTAGAAAATTATGTATGTCTACAATACCAAATATATACCATACGAAAATATATTCCATCATGAATCAATTGTACCTATTTGGTATTCCAGATGTTGACAATGTTTTCTACAAACTTGGTCAAAGTTTACAAGGTTTGACTATGGAAAAGTCTAATAAGCGCTATATTTTGGGACGGAGGAAGTATAACTTTTCCAAGAGAGATCAATAATAGAGCAAATGTGTTGGCATTACTTCATACCTACTACAAGTAGCGGACTAGCGGTGCACCAGCAATTAAGAGAGTGAAGTTGTTTTACTATGTAACGGAGGAGAGCAACCAAGCAAGACATACCAGATCACTTTCAATACGAACACCACCAAAACTTTTGTACTTCTCAATCTCTTCCCAGTTGAAGAATTTTGAGGAAATTGGATCATCCCTGGCAGGCCTCAGCAAAGCATCGATGAAATAACAGCCTGGCTCAACCGTAATAACCTGCAGTTCAAAAACCATGTGAGCTCAGATGCTTGTTATAACTATATGTAAGATGCCCACACACACCCTTCTCAACATGGATGCAGAAAATACAGTACTATTCAAAGGAGGATCCACGACCATTTATTGTTCAAATTATCTATGTTGTACTTCATTTCTTATCCTCACTCTCGGATAGCATATGCTAAAATAGGAGAAGATATACATCGATATATATGTCGGAGAACTTTAGATGTTTCCATGCTCTTCTGCATGATATATATTTAAGTTTGTCATCTTCAAAATATCCATTGTGATTACTATATCACAACAAGTCTCGAGGCCTTGATGTCTAACTGCCTACACAAAGCAGCTTGGGTATGAAGAGTTGATAACAGAAAAGGTATTAACTTTCAGAAGTTGTGGGGACCTTATGCATGATGTTGTACAGTTAAAGCATAACCACAATACCAGGCAAATATGACATATTGTGGTTATGTGTGCATATTGTGGTTATGTGTGCTACTAAATGGTCAATAGTCTGTCCGAAAGAATACGCATGAACAGAGCCCCAAACAGCTCATAAATCTTAGTGTCATCTTGTTTGAATACCCAAATGGTCAATAGTCTGTCCGAAAGAATACACATTAAGAGAGTCCCAAACAGCTCATAAATTTTACTGGCTAACACGACAACCTAGCCACTTCTCAGAAAAGTGCGCCTGAAATTGCCAGAGTATTTTGTGCTACTAAATCTTCATAAATTAATGAGAAAGGTAATTACTTACCATGCCTTCTTTAAGTTCTCTTATGGTCCGCAAGGAGCTCAGTCCTGGCTCCTTTGGTCTCTCTAAGCCCTAAAGTCAAAAAACAAGCATTAAACTCGGTTGCAGGGAGGTAGGTATAAAGATTAAACTTGCATAAACATCGGTAAAATCCATATCTCAACCTCAGGGTAGCCTCCAGGATCATGGGTGTCAATTCCAAGCAAGTGCCCAAGACCATGAGGCATGAAAACAGCACCCAACCTTCGAGCCATCATATCAGCAATATCACTGAAATAATTGTATTCCGGGGAATAGAGAAGTCAGCATTGTAGCTTTACATATTATCATATTTAAGTTCTATGAGCAGCTCTCACACACGCACCCATGGATAATCTTTTCATTCTTGAGAGATTCAAGTATTGTCTGCTCGGCCAGCCTGCAAAAAAGATCAAATGGCGTGTAAGCCATTACAATAGACAAGGATGGACAAACAGAAGAAAAAAGGGTGTATCAGCATTATACAAAGCAAAAGATGCTGCAAAATCTAACACAGAGGCCAACAGTAAACATTCTTGGATAACCCCATCAAGGATGTTCAGAAATTGCGTGGTTCTGTAAGTAACAATCGTTCTTACTTGTGCATATCAACCCATTTTAATCCAGGCTGCATGTGTGATATGACAGCATTATGAGCCTTAAGGACAGCCTGTAAAATAGTCAGTGTTGCATCAATAAAGATTCAAACAGCCTGTCCAGGCTCTAATTCACATACAGGAAGAAAAGCACTTTCTCACAAGTACTTACATTGTATACTATTGCCTGGTTGCTGTTGAACTTCCCATTTATCTGAAAAGACAAAAACTCATTCAGGTGATGTCACTAGACAAACAGTATATTAAGATGTGATGAACAGAAAAATGTTCCAGCTTGCATCGAGGTTTGTTGGGAAGAAAACTTCTAGAATTATCAGCTATGGCCCAAAATCAGCTAAATACTTACTAAATCATGACTAATCGTAACAGAGAATCGGGCTGAAGTGAAAATGAAAGGATATCTGAGGGTGCTCAGATTAAGATATGAACATTGAATAAATAATGACCGCTGGTAGCAATGATGTTCATAAGCAGTTCATTGCACACAATAAGCATAGCCCTTGACACTTTTAACAGTAGATAACAAAAGCAGGTCCATTTAGTAAAGACACTGGAAAATAAAAATAGTGTACCAAATTAGATAGATGAATGTTACGAAGGACTTACGGGGTATGAACATGTGATGTCAGAGCCATAGAAATTATATTCAGCTCCCATGTCCATTAGAGCCATGTCTCCATCATTCAGCGTCTGAAAATATATGAGATGATCATCTACCAATGAGGAAAAGAAAAACTACAAGAGGAGTCAAAATACAAAAATTCCCATAAAATAAGAACGCTCAATATTACATCAAAGACCGTTGTAGCTATGATTACTTTGTTGGATTTCTACCACTGTATATAAATATCTGTGTTGGTGCCATCACTCGCAACGTGTAAGCTGGATACATTATGATGCTGGGCCTATTCAACTAGACAATTTTCATTCAAAATTGTATAACTCGTCACCAGGGTCATTACCACCCAATGTTCACATGTATCTGATGACAAGAACTTATATTCGTCTATATCATAAATGAAAGGTAGCACACAACAGACACCATTCAGTTTACAAATTATCATAGGTAGATTTCAAGACCTCGTGGTACTGATAAATGTAGTTGACAAATAACAAGGTAGATGAACTCTACAGCCTGAACTCCATATAGTCGTCGCTGAAGAAGGCTTTCCACTTTGATAATGCTCACAGAGCAGTGGCTTGGGAAGCATCAAATGCTGCCGTATTCAACGGGCAGAGGCCTAGCATCACCACGCTGCTGGACACCATCCAAGCAGAGACGTGGTTGTGGGCTATGGCAATAGCAACCAGCCTTCAAGTGTTACTCCCAGCGGAGCTGAGCTGGGGGCCAGGTTCAACCATAGCGGTCAAAGGACACCGGGTCCAAGATATTTTCCTTGCTACATGAAATGTATAGTATACTGTGTCTGTGTGACACCCCATTTTCAGGTGAGAAATACTCCCTCCGTCCCAAAATTCTTGTCTTAGGCCCTGTTTGGTTCAGCTTTTATCGACGGATTCCGCTGCCGCACAGCAGAATCTAAACCAAAGGGCGAAGGGAGCAGAATCCGATTTCAGAAATCCGCAGCCGAAATACATGCACGAGCAGAAGCAGCCCGGGACGTGCTTTCCAAAATCTGATTCCTCTGCGGACGCCCCCACGCCGCCGCGGACCCCTCTGCCCCCGTCCCCGCGCCGCCGGTCCCCTCCGGCCCCGCCCCCACGCCGCCGAACCCCTCCCGCCCTGTCCCCGCGCCGCCGGACGCCTCCGCCCCATCCACGCGCCGCCGGTCTTCTCTGCTGCTGGTGCCACCACTGCTGCTGACCTACAGTCACAACTCATACAGCTGGTTTGCCAAATGACCTATAGCTTTTTCATAGCAGATTTTCCACAACTGTTTTTTTCACAGCAGATTTTCCACAACTGTTTTTTTCACAGCAGATTTTCCACAGCTGCTTTTAGAAATCCACAGCCGAACCAAACAGGGCCTTAGATTTGTCTTGATACGGATGTATCTAATACAAAAAAGTGACTTGATACATCCATATTTAGACAAATCTAAGACAAGAATTTTGGGACGGAGGGAGTAGAACTGCTACAAGACATAGGATCATTTTATCGGTGGGTCCACCCCAGGCTGAGCACTTAGGGGTGTGGCGTGTGTTGTTGTTGTACTTGGCCTATCCGTAGGCTTGTAAATAACTTTATCTATCTAGCATCAAAATACAAGGCTTTGCGTTTTCTCGAGGATTTTTGTTATAAAGCATGACCATTTTCAAGTCATCAGGAGTATGAAATTCATTTAAAAGAGACCTGAGCTCTGTGGACAACTTAATCTCAATTTAGTGAATTCTAACATTTAAAAGCTTGATCAGGTAAAATACTAATAGAGAGAAGTCAATCAAATGCGACAAAGCATCATAAAAAAAGAGTACCCGGTCATTTGGAGCAGCCGTATGTCCATAATGAAGAATAGAACTGCAAAATCAACAGAAAGAGTTATTATAGCATACAATATATAGTCTAACAAACTCAGAATTTCTGAGTCTTCAATCTTGATAGCAAATGCTAACCGGCCTTCAAGATGACTGAGACTTTGTACACCAATAAAATATCTAGTAATGTCATCTAACC